GGACTTTCAGATATTTAATGACAGAATGACAAACAATCTAATTTTTCTCCTTCCTGTGAACTGGGTTTGCAACAGAAAAAAAACAAACTTTAAGAAAAGAACCTATTCTGCTTGGGAATAAAGAGTTCTAGGCACAATTTGGTCTGTGTGGAAGGCACAACGCTTATTCTACAGGTACCCCCTTTATTCTCAACGCTTTCTAGTGGAAATGGTCTTCCTTTTTAGAATTCTCTCTATCAAGAGAGAGACTGAGCTCCAGGCCGCAAATGAGTATTTTTAAGGCACGAAGCACCAATAAAGATGTTGCATTCATGTTGGCAGACAATCAAAATACATCTCATTTGATATACTGTCCTGGTTTTGTTATTGAGAAATTAAAGCACAGAAAACTGAAGAAACTTGTTTAAGATGGAGCAGTTAAACAGCAGGGAGCAGGAGAATTCCTTCAATTTTTCTGCTTTAGCTTCAAAGCTTATTCTACCTCTTATAAAAGCAAACAAAAAAGCTCAGCTGACTATTAAGTTCAGAGCGCTGTACAATTAATAATTTAAACTTCTGAGGAACAACATCCTAAAGACAGACAAATCCTGAAAAAGTCCATTTGACCTTTCTCAAACCTCTTTACAGTTTAAGTGCTACCCTGTTCACATCACATTCAACTTCCTGAGGGACTTTTAAGCAGAAGAGTGAAAACAACGAACAGGACAGAAGCAGGGCTACTACCTATGACACTGAACACAGTCAGGATGTCACAGGGTAAAGTCTACCCAATCACACCATTCAGGTAAGTTAAACCTTGAGTACATACACTCAACTCCAACTCATTAGAAGGTTTTGATATCTGCTGGGAAAACAAAGCACAACCAATTATGCACAAAACTTCCTAAAGACTACAGACTATGTGTCCTGCTGTAATGACTTGGGTATGCACAGGAAAGCAGCAAAGCATAGATGAACTTTTAACTACTTGATATCTAACACATTTGGGACAAGAGATCAAAAGGTGAAAGCCACCCTAGTAACAACAGCTAAATCACTTTAAGTATGGAGAAAGTCAAAGATATTGGCCTGCAGTGACAAATGAGGCCACTAGCAGCTTACACTGACCATTGCAGCTTGAAATCAATAGTGAGCACAATTGCTCCTTGTGGGGAACACATCCTCAAGCATCCAGCGCTGTGCCGAAGGGTGAGCCTGAGGTGGAATTGCCACACATAAGAGCCAGGCCACCAGCCAAGACTCAAACACCTCAAGCAGCTGGAACAAGTGTCCTCTGATCAGCCCCATGAACTCAGAGGAACAGCATGAGCAGATGAGTGTGGGTGTATGTGAGAAATAAATTTAAGGTTTTATGTCACTCAGCACTGTGCTTCTGCTCTTGTGCCTACATCATCACTAAGTTTCCCCTGCAATACAGAGAACAGAATCAAACAGCTTAACTGTTTTCAACAGATCCTAATGTCAGGGAGAAGGTCACATCAGCTGGCTGTTCTACAGTCAAGAGTAGTGGGTCCAGCATCTGACCTCTCTCCAAGGTTTGTATTCTACTAAGCTATACACTTTGTAACTTTTCCTCATACACAGTAAAGGAACCAAGTTGTTGTCCATAGCTGAAAACAGAAGAACAGAGCCTTTGTTATTAATTGCTCAAAATGTTCCTTTCTATGGAGGGCACAAAATACTTCTCTAATCAAGGATAATACCTGAGCAGTATCAGTCTGCCTCAAACACTTGCTTTTAAGTCTCCTAGCTAAATCAGAGTTAGAAATATTTCTAAGTAACTCTGGAAATAGAATCAAGGGGTTTTTTTTTTTAAAAGAATACAAGGGATACACTGCGCAAGTTAAGCTAGTGAATAAACCCAAACTGTAATTTTGGTGACTCATAAGGTTAAAGTTTTACATTAAAAGCAGTCTCCTCCCAATATTTTTATGGACTTCTCTCCCTCTTCAAACTGCAAGATCTAGAACCAACTGCTGCTTAAGGGCACTGAAGTTCAAAGTACTGCCTCTGGCACACTAAGTCACCAACTCCACAATGCTCTCCTCCAATTTCAACCCAAGCCTAGGATCGAGGACAAAGAATACTAACAGAGTAGTAACTCTACTTCTAATGCAATTAGTGAAACACGCCACCTATAGTTTAGGTATTTCCATTTTCACAATTACTTTGTGGATTCAGAGAATTCACTACAGTGTTGATGTTATTTTGTCCTTAATTATTGCTAATCGATAAATACACTAAGTCAGTGAACTCCCAGTATATTTGTATCCACAGATTTTGGTTCTTCAGAAAAAGCTTTAGTTTTGTTTTTACATATCCCTATATCAATACTAGAGACAACGTTTCGTATTTGTGTATTAAAATTCTGTGTTCCTCCAGTAGTGGTTACAGAGTCCTCGTAAAGAAGAATGAGATGGGAGTGTGGTTAAGAAAACTCCTGCTTACATTAATCTGTTCTCATCAATGCTGGTTTTGACGTTAAAATACCTGAATTGAAGACTGCTCAAATACAGAGAACATGTTCTGTAAAGGGGTCAGCTGAGAAATTGCCCAAAGTCAATCAGGACTGTAATATTATTTTTTTTTACATATTAATGAAATCTAAAACTAGTTAGCTCATTTCTTGACTTAATATTTTATCAATACCCTTTCTAAAAAAAAAAACAAAACACCACACCTTGCTTCACAGTTCCTCAGATCATTTACTTGCAATAGGAAGGAACCGAAGGCTTGACAAGACGCACCTATACTTGAAGATGCAAGGAAAACACTAATACCTAGCTCCCATCTGCTGGTAGTCAATGAAAGAAGCATTATCATTCCTTTACTTCTATACTCTCATAACATGAATGCAGAAGAAAATGAGGACTGACTTTTCTCCCACTTTTAAGATTTACTCCTCAATGAATACCTCTTTCCTGACTCTCAACCTTTCTAGTCCACACCTCGTTTCAATTAAAAACAATTCTGCAGCTCTGAAGAGTAAGTGGCTCCCACTTTAATGAATCCTTGCACATAATTTATTGTTTGCAAAAAAACTTACCAGGTAAAGCATCCCGTAGGTCAACAAGCACTTTTTGGTTGTGTTTTTATCTTTGAGCAATAGAATGAAATAAGCACTTCTTGCAAGTTTCACTCCTTCCCAAAGAATGTTTTTCAAACTGGTTTCACTAGGCAGAAAGCGAGAGCCTGGTTTTACATTGAGAACATGTCCAAGTCTATCCCTTCTGCCTGCACTCCTCCATCCCAAAGAGCAAGTAATCATAGAAGATGTAACTTCTGCAGTGTTGTTTGGTTACAGGGCCAACTTATCAGGCACAGCTGAGGGCCTTTAACCAGTTCTTCCAAGAATCAAGATCTGTATCAAGGTACAGAGGAGCACATTCATCTCCTTCATCAAGTTAGGGGAGCACAAACGTTTCAGCTTCTGCATGAAACTTCTTCCCTTAGGAAATACATTTTTCCGTCAATGTTACTGCTTCCTGTCACAGTAACTCTTTCTTCCCTCACAATCTTGCAATACTTCTCTCGATTATTTAGAAAGCAATTCACACTCTGAGAATTCACAGGTGTAGTCATGGGTAAGTGCCAGTAAACAAGTTTCATCAAGTCGTCATTACCCAAACTGCAACATCATGTTGCCCAAAATTACAGGTGAGTAAGTTCTAAACAGGTGCATTTTGATATCTCCTTTTCCTCCAACCCAAATCCTTACTTCTAGGTCTTTGTTCTCTCATCTATTCTACCAATATGAAAGTAATTAGCAGCACCACCCACCCATGCTTCATTTAAATCACCTTTACCACCTTTTTAAAACCAAAATTTATGGATCTAACAGTAGTTTCAAATACAGCATTAAGAACACTGCATGGTCATTACTGTTACTCATACTTTGAATTAAGAGATCTTGGGAGTTCATAATAGATATCATTATAGATACCATACAAGCTACTTCACTTCAGCCTCTTCTTCAAGCCTTTGATTTGATACTGAGGTTCTAATTTTTCAACTTGTAAAAGACAACCTTCTTAAGGCAATTAACCTTACAGACAGCATAGTGATGTTACAGAAGAAAACAAAATAAGGTCTACTTGCAGACTAATATAAGCAGCAAAGGAAAAGATGAGATTTACCTACAGTTTAAAGAGGATCAAGTCAATTTTTCTAGCAAGGTGCCGTAAGCCTTTCCCCAAAAGGTCACAGTTCAGACAATTTCAGGACAACAGAGAACTGAATTCATTCTGTTCTGCTGAAAAATAAGGTTCGGGCAATGGCAGTGTGGATTAAAGAATCTACAGGGCATCTTCTTTTAAAATAAAAGTTTAAACACATGTTATTACATGGCTGGGATACTACCATATGGCTATGGTACCATATGCCTATGAACATATGGGTAGTTCACTTTTTAGTGAACAAAAAGAAGCAGGGTTACTGGTGCTTTATTCCATAAATTCATTCTGCTCATCTCAGTCACTTGGAAACTATTAGCGAGATACAATTCCTGTACCCTTTAGCGTCCCCACTTGAAACCATCTTTTGGCAACACAGAAGCAGTACCGGGTAGATACGGTATTACAAAGCTCATCTCAAGAACAAGACCAAAAAAAAAAACCAAACCAAAAACAAACTACAAACCAGCATGGAATTTGTCAATCCCAGAGGATATAGCTGAACAGCAAAACAGAGCTCAGCCCAGGTCTCTTTAGATTTACAGTCAGCTGCCATAAACTGTCAGCACACTAGTAACCCTCTACAAAATGTATATATTAACTCGAGATAATGGGGACTGAGCAGCCATACCTCACATCATTAATACAACTTGAACTGACACAAAGAACAACCAGAACAGCCAGGCCACCCACCAACCGAAAAGAGAGCTTTTTTTCTCCCCTCCTACATACCTGGTTCCCACCAGACTTCTGAATGGTTCCAGCAGCTGCATCAAAATATCACTTGCGTGAGGTGCACTAAATCCACTTCAGAATATAAAAGGATACAGCCTTAGTGCTCCAGTCTGAGTCCCGATGGCCAGTATTTTCTGAACAGGGTCAAATGCCAAGGCTGACGGTTGATAGGGGAAACCATGGCGTACAGTCTAACAAGTCAGAGCATCGCAATAATGACGGGTCAAGCAGCAGACCAAAAATAAACAGAATCAATATCGCATGTTAGGAAACAGGATTCGGTGTTAATCACAATTAAGATAGGAACTACAAAGCATTTTAACAACAGACTGAGAAAATCAGCTGTCTTACATGAACCAGTTATAAAAGATTTTTTTAGTCATAATTACTCATTCACCCTTGATCATCAAGTGACAATCATACTTACTGAAACTTAATTTGAATTTTGCATTTCTTCTGTACAAAGAGTGTATGAAGTCAGCATTTTATTTTTTCACCTACCTCATTCTTCGAGTAATCTTATTTTTAGCTCTAACAAAGGCACTAAACTATTAAAATCTGAGATGTTCCTAGGAAGTTTGGCAACAAAGCCAGACTTGTCATTAAAACTATTACAAATTACTAGACCTGCTTTTCTGAGAATCACTTCAATTTCAATCCAACAGGCCTCATATGACAGTGCAACCTCTCAGCACATTAAGAAAAAAACAACCCAAGCTCCACAGAACCAAGCTCTCACCCTCTGCTTCCCTCAAAGAAGAAAAAAACCAGCCCCCGAAATAGACAAAACCAAAAAACACCCCACGAAACAAAGCAAAAAAACCCCTCAAGATTCTTTCTTAACATGAAGCTATTGGCACATTCAGCTTTTTGGTTAGCCAAGACTAATTTGGTAACTGACCAAGCAATAACTCCATTACACTTTCAGGCTGCAATTAATCAGAATCGGGAATATAATAGAAGTGTCACCTACTCTTATTTCTGTTATACACACAATGTAAGCCACACAAATGGCAGCTTTTCCATTTCAAAACCTTTAGTTTAAAGTAGAGTTATTTTAGAACCTCATAAATGCATAGCAAACTTCTGATATACTTCTTTTACTTCACTGAAGTTGCAGGCATACCCCACAACTCTCAGATTTTATTCACTGTGAAATACTAACTGGTAACAGCTCTGCTGTTGTCCATGTCCTTCATGAACAACTTGCCAAAGTGGCAGAAACACCTGCAATACTAGATAAAAGAAGGAGGAGGATCCACAAACAAGCTCATCCATCTCAAGCTAGGCCATGGGTGCATTGTAAAGATAAAAATAGGTATTGATATTCAAATCAGTGTTTATTCCTCTTGGTACAGCTGGTGGATTAATTCGCTGCATCATTTTCTGAAGTGTGCAGACACAAACTGTAGTTATTGTATCACACACAAGCAAATAAAAAACCAGGAACTTTTCCTCTGTCTCTGGAGAACATTTGCAATAGCAGCATCGGCAGCTTGGCAACACACTGCAGCGAAACCACCACAAACGTCTACAGCCTTCTTCAGGCACAAGGGAAGGGGATAAATGCATTTCCAAATAATGCAGAGCGACAGATGCCCTGTCCTTCGGGCCCATGAGCAGAGGCTCCTACTCAAACGCCGCGATAATCAGATCTGCACTACAGCTAGGTATCACTCCTTCCCACAGCCATCCCACTCTTTCTACGAAGCCTTCACGGACACGGTCAATATTACACGCATGCAGGAGCCTAGAAGACGACAAACCCTGAAACTCTCCAGGAAAGATGACTACGGAAATCCAGCCGGACCCGTACAGCTACACCCACCGCTTCCTTCCCTTCTCCCCCCCCGCTCCCCAAAATAATAAATGCAAACGAGTCAACAGGAGCGGCGGGCAGGCTCGGCGAGGTCGGCACCGAGAAGCCGAGCCCGCAGAGCCCAGCGCGGCGGTGCGCCCCCTTCCCCGCCCGGCCGCCCGCTCGGGGCTGCAGCATTCATTCACCTTGCAGAGCTGGAAGTGCTCGGACTGGAGCGTCTCCTGGATTTCGGTCTCCCGGTTCCCCGCCTGCTGCTGCTGCGCGGCGGACGACGCCGAGGCGGCGGCGGACACCGCCGTCAGGCCGTCCAGCACCTTCCTGATGTTAAATTTC